TTACCAATTTACTACAACTAAATTACTGCAACTAATTTTTTGGCAAGCTAATGCGCAAAAGGCAACAGCCATTAGTGACACACTGAAAATTCCATACAAAAGCAATTAATTAATGAAATTAAAAAGCAAGGAATGTTGGTAATAAAAAATTATCTTTTTTTGAGAAGTCCTTCTTTTTCACACTGTTGTTTCTCTTCATGTACACATATACATCTGCTTTCACTTAAAAAAGTACACTGCACATACACAAAAATTGAACAGTTCTTTATCTCCCGTTCTGCTGGGCCTAGTTAATGAAATTCAATTTGCGTTTTCCATGTCTCAAAAGTGCGAGTTAGGAAATGTATTAGATTTATATGTAGCATTGTTCTAATGTAGGTATTTTGGCATAAAACTGGACTTTATTTGAAGTGACATGCCAATTTTTTTCCATAGTTCGATTCTGCGACACAAACTGCCACGTTTTGTAAAAATCGCATAAGTAGTTTTTTAAAAATTATCTCTCAAAATTTTAACTTTTCAGTGTTAGTTGAATTTGGTATATATTTATTAACTCTTTTTTTATTAAACTTTATTTGATTATTCCTTTCATATTTTGAAATTTAGGTTCATTCTAAATAAAATTCGCTTTTTATAATTTATTTTTTAAATTTGTATTTTTTAAATTATTTTTATAAATTTTTCAAAAAAAAATTTGAATTATAATTATAAAATTTTTACCATCATCTTAAAGTAGCATACCTGCCAAAAGTTAGAGTTTTTTATTCAAAATTTCTGAAGATGTATGGGAATTTTGAAATTTGGCATGTTTGTTGAAAGCGATAATAACATCTAATGTGGTTTACACACTTTGTTAAAAATTATTTGAAAGTAGGAAGGAAGTAACTTTTTTCCTCCTCATGCACAATGTAAAAAGGGAAAGAAAAATAGGTTGCCATAAATTAAAAAGTTCAGCAAGTGAATTATTCTTAGGGCAAACTGAAAAAATAAATAAATAAATAAATAAATAAAATAAAATATTCAAAGGTAAATTTTTGAATTTCTCCATAAATTTTACAAAATTTAATATTTCGGCATAGTAAATTATATGTGTAAAAAAACTGGCATGTCATTTTGGAAGAAGTTTGATTTTGTTTCGAAATACCTATATTAGAACAATGCTTATATATAAATGTAATACATATCCTAAGTCACACTTTTGAAACATAAAAAATGCAATTTGAATTTCATCAACCAGTCCAGTAGAATGAGAGATATAGAACTGTCCCCCCCTTTTTTTTGCACAGTGTACTTGCATATTGTCTCACTGACCATGAAAGTCTATGGAGTCCTGCCAAAATTGTGCCATCTGTTCCTGACAAATTATGAAGGAACTGGTGCCTCTTTATTTAATAAACTATCAGTATTTTACCTGCTTTATTTTTGCACTTCATAAAATGGCTTTCTGATTTCCAGCATTTTTTTAGACTTTCTGGTTTTACCAGAAACTCTGTTTAGAACAATGTATGAGTACAAACTTCCTGCAAGTAATTTTTCAAATCTACTATGGTTTAGCCATATTCAACTGACCATATTGGTTTGATTAATAGCACTTTTTTGATGGCAGGAATCCGTAACTTTGAAAATAATCACTTGTTTGCTTTTCCGTAAAAGCCAGGTCTGAAATTTTAATAATTTTTTTTCAAATGCATGAAAAGTACAGCAACAGCAAGTTAATTTTTTTCCTTTTTCATTCATTTTGTGACTTATCGATACTCACTTGGGGTTTCATTAAAAAAAAAGAAAAAAAAAAAAAAAAAAAAAATGTTATGCATGCTTTGTTGCTTCATGCTTATCTACAACTGACGCTAAATCACCACCATTTGCCGATAATTTCTGTTCGCTTGATGGGGATAAATGTACCAAAAATAATATATAATATGTATAAAAAATAATATGTACCAAAAATAATATAATATAGTTAATATGTACCAAAAAAGTGAATTGTACAAATTGGTCATCTGTACAACTTAGAAACTGTGCACTGACTAAAACAGACATGCACATATACAAGGGTTACCATATAAACACTTTGATGGATTGTTATACAACTATCTTGGCAATATGTTGCTTTGTCTCACAGTAGAAGTCCAGAAATCCGCAAAGCTTGGGACCAGAGGTTGTGCGAATTTTAGGATTTTGCGAATTTCGAGGCACAAAAGATAAATCATAATATTCAGGCTAAAAGTGCAAAACAAATAAGGCATATTAGATACATTTAATAAAATTATTATATACATTATTACAATAATTTATTATATGCATTAAATTATTATTACATATATAAATTGATTATATTTTATTATTCATTTGCATTAGGCTCCTCTATTTGTAAATCAGCATGAATCTGCTTCCCTTTTTCTCTCAGGAGCAGTGCTGAAATTGGTACCCCATTTCATGGGCCGCTGCCGGAACTACTCGTATGAGATGGCATTGAGGTTTGCCGATTTCACCTCATGTAAAGATTTCCGGTTTTGGATTCCGGTGGTAGAATCACTGTTGCTGTAAAATTATAACAGCTTTTCTTTATTTTTCCGTATATCATACATGGTCCATGTCGCAATTCCATATGATTCTGCTATAAACCAAGGAGTATAAACCTGCCTTTCATCTTTTGCAGAATTTCCATTTTTTGTATTACCGTCAATGCAATGTGTTTACGTTTTTCAGCGTTTCAAGCAGTAAAATCATGAGTGCGTTTCTTATCTGTCATTGTATTAAAAAGTGCTGAAATTTAAAATATTCTTAATTTATCCACAAAATATCCGGATAATAAAAAAAAAATGGCAGCACTAAATAATCTCGGGAAATAACAGCTCAGAAAGTACAACAATGTGAATCATATACTTGAAAGAAGAGTTAAGTGAATCATCTGCTGTTTTACCTCTATGCAGACCGGAGAGAAAAAATTTTTATCATAATGTCAATAATTTGGTATTTCCAATATGACGCATTTTATTCAGTAATTATAATGTTATTATCCGGTATTTTTTCTCTGATATTTCATACTCCATGTTGCTGTTTCAAAACCTATAAACTGAATGTTTATATTTTGAGAGGCAACATGGATTTCAGGAGTTGGCGGATTTTCGGTATTTGACTGTACTTTTTTGCAATTTTCAGAGGCTATGTGGATAGTCAGAAAATACCAGTTAATGTTCATATTTTTTTTTTCTTCTAGGCTTAGGCATATTATTTCTTCCATGCTGCATGTCACTAGATAATAAACATTATGAATTGCTTTTACTCTAGTGTAAAATTGGGTGACCCTTCGATAAGTGACAAATTTTTGTAAAATTTTGGCAGTGAAATCTCATTTCTGGTTACCATGATTGTTTAACTTTGTTTTAGCCTCCTAATTTTTTTTTAAAATAAAAATAGATTGATGTGTACATGGACAAATTTAAAGCAGTGTGCAATGCCTAGTTTGTGCAATTCTGGGATGTTTTTTTCAGTGAAAACAGATCCATGTGTACATGGACACAGAGTTTATGCAATTCCTTGTCTTTTTATTTTGGTTTTGTGTAGCGGCCATCTTGAAATTGTGTCTTTCTGGCGCCGATCTTGGCGTCAAAAAAGAATCGCCAAAAAGCAAGGGGCACCCAATTGTAAACTTTTACCATTGCTTTTATTTTTTTTTTAATCGAGTTCTTTACGATTTACAATTTTTATTTTATAATTACTTCACTACAATAATCTGTTTAGTGTAACCATTATAAAACAATTTAGTAATTTTTCTTATGGTAATTTGTGAAATTTATTATTTCTTTTGATTGTTAATTCCTCAAATTCCTTTGATTTTAACACTGATTAATTCTGAATGAATAATGTTTGAGTAAGAATTTTTAAAGTTATTAATAGCTGTGATTGTTTTCATCAATAAGCAGTTAGCATTTATAATTCTTATAGTGTGATTTTGTTCAGCTTCTGACAGATATGATAATTCCTGCAAAAAATCAACCTTAAATGCCAGGTCTTTCAAAAATCCAAAATTTAAATTGATTTAATTCAGTATTAGAAACCTTTATCCTTTGATGCAAAATGCTGGTATTAGCAGGATCGGTTTTCTACACAACAAGAGGCATTCATGAATCATATACTATTGCTATCATGGTGTTATATCACATAACTCACATAGCATAGTTATCACATAGCCAGTTTTTAATATTTTGACACCTCAATCTTAGCTAAGTTCATTTAATTCTTGCTGATTTTGGAGAAATTGATGACGAAAAATATATAATTTAACAAGAATTATTTAAAAATGATTCATTATATTAATGTCTTTTTCTCACATTATCAAATGCTGGTTGTTAGCTGTGAACTGTGTATGATGTTAAGAAATGTTAAGAATGTTTAAAAAGATAAGAAATTTTTGTGGAAATTTGCTGAAATTAGAAAAGATCCTAATTCTGAGGAAAAGAAGAATTAATCTTACTCTCATAAATCAAAATATGATTATTTTATGTATCAAAATATGATTCATATTAGATTATATTTTATATATCAAAATATGATTGATAAATCAAAATATGATTATTTTATATAAATATGATATAAATCAAAATATGATTATGCTAGAATTTGTTTTTGAAGTAAATGAACAAATATGCAAAAATTCTGCAGCACATTTTTCATTTTGTTGAGCTTTGATATTAGGATGTGTATAATCTAGTGGAAAATTGGAATATATTTTTTTAATTTAGTAATATGTGCTAGTAGTAGTAATAAGTAATAATGAATGTAGCCTTGTTGGTAAGTAGATTACAGTACTACTTTTGCCAAGCATGAAAATGCAAGCAAAAGATTTTTTATTATTTTCAATTCGCTGTTTTTTTCGTGATACATAAATATTTTTCAACTAAGTGCACTTATTATTATGAGTTTATATAATAAATATAATAAACTGGTGTATTTTAAACAATATAGTCTCGATTTTGCTTTAGATTTTTATTATTAATATGTTTAATTTTAGAATTAATTCCTGTATAGAAGATATATCAAGAATCTTTGGTACTATAGAAAACCTACACAAGACAGAGGATGTCCTGAATTCAGATGAATTAGTTACTGATGAATTTTGTACTGTCTTAGAAAAAGTGGTAAGAATATAGATTTATATTTTTTACATTTATGATATGATATACTTCAGGAATCTTATTTGTGCACACTGTAATTTAAAAAAGAGTATCGGCTAAATCTTTTATTTTGTTTGAAATCTGTTAAAACAGGGGTGGGTATTAAGCCGATTGGGATTGACCAGGGGACTAACAAGACATTCTGGGGTTACCACCTTAACTAAGATGTAAAATGTGCCTGCTAAACAAAACATATTTATGGAACACCGACGCCAGCTAGGCTGGAGAATGGGCTTTTCACAATCGATGCGACTGTGCTTACTTAAACAAATGATTCAGTGAATGTGTAGATGACACATATACCTTCACTGAGAGTGCACGATGACGCTTAAGTACATAACGTTGGTTACAGATTCATCGGTTCACATATGTTCGCTGCTCGGCTGCATTGAATACGTCCATGGTCTAGCAGTCCTTAAAGTTCTTCAAACATTCAACTTGACAATTTTGATGTACTTATGGTTTTGTAGTAAAATAGTAATATGTTATATTTTAAAAGAGGGGTATGTCAAAATCTAGTGTTAAGAAAAGAAAAACAAATAATTTTAATACAGAATGGGAAGAACAGTTTTTCTTTAGAATGATGAATATAAAATGTGTGTGCTATCTATGTCATGCAAGTGTAGCACTTCTAAAAAAAGAAAATGTTGAAAGGAATTTCAAAAGCATGCATGGAAGTTTTGATACTGATTTTCCATTAAAAAAGCGAATTGCATAAACAAAAGTAAAATCGCAATAAATCAATCATTATTTTATTAACAACAATCATTATTTTATTCAACTCAATACTATATCTAAGTACTATTACTCTATTGCAACAGTTTCATCTTTTCATGCGAGTCATGTGTTAGCAAAACATAAGAAACCTTTCATAGATGGAGAAATGATTAAAAAAAAAAGCATTTCTGAAAGCCAACAATTCATTATTTAATTCATTCAAGAACAAAAGTGATATTATTTCTGCAATTAAAGATGTACAGCTTTCACATAGAACTATCACATAGCGTATAGAAATGATGAATTCTGATCTCGTTGATCAGCTGACTGAAGATATTACTAACTGTATTTGCTTTTCCTTGCAGTTTGACGAATCTACAGACATAGTTGATATTTCTTAACTTTGTATTTTTATAAGAATGGTTTTTAAAAATATGAGTGTAGAAGAAGAATTATTAACAATATTACCTCGGAAGAAGAAAACACGAGGTGAAGATGTTTACTGTGCCTTCAAAAAATACTTAGAGGAGAAAAAAATTTCAATTTATAAATTTTTATTGATGACAACTGATGGGGCCCCCATCAATGACCGGCACAGTCAATGCATTTTTGGCTATGTGTATCAGAGACGATGACACCGCATTTTCTTTCTTTTCATTGCATTATTTACCAACAAGTTCTCTGTTGTAAAATTCTAAATAGGCATCATGTTATGGGAATCTGCATGGAAACTGTGAACTCAGTTCGAGGAAGAAATCTTCAGAGAAGAATGTTTCAGACCCAACTAGAAGAAAATGAATCTGATTATGGCAAATTGTTATATCATGCAGATGTTCATTGGTCAAGTTGAAGTATATTTTTACAAAGATTCAGGGGCCTACTACAAGAGGTAAAGATTTTTTCGGAATCAAATAATAAAGCATACATTGTAGTTAGTGATGGCGTTTGATTGATGGATTTAACTTCTGCTGTTGATATTCCAAGCCATCTTAATGAATTGAACTTACAATTGCAAGTCAAAAATCAAACAATAATAGAATTGATTGGATTTGTTAATACTATCAAAAACAAGTTAAAAGCCAGTATCTTCTCAGTTGATGAAGAATGAACTAAAAGTTTTCAAAAATATTTCTGATAAGTTGTTTAAAAACAGCGGTACATTAAACAAAGAGAAATATTATGATGAAATAATAAAATTTCACTCTGAATTTGAGAGACGTTTTCGTGAATTTACTAGACTAGAACCAATTGTTGCAGTCATGTGTTACCCATTTGGCAATGTTAATGTGGAAGAAATGACTGAAAATGTAAATTATACATTCTCTTTATTGATATAAATTATTAATCTATTTATTAAAATTATGTCATTTTGATGGAGAAAATGAGGTTAAAGCATACTAATTAAAAAAAAAAAATATATGCATTTCATTTAACATTGTTTTTTTTTGGACTACCTGTCTGTGTGAATGTACCTTTTCAATGATAAATACAATTAAGACAACATATCATTCACATCTCACAGTTGGCCACTTACAATCGAGTGCAAGATTAGTAGTTAGTAATTGTACTATACCGATATATTCAAGATTAGCGGACAGTATGCAGACTAAGACTTCTACTAACTATAACTACGAGAACTAACTTTAGATGAAAATGTTTTATTTTTTAATGTATTTTGAATTGTTTGATAAGAAACGCATCATTTGAAATTATTATATTTATGGCTATTATTATTATGTTTGTATCTTGCTTTAAACATGGTTTAAAAAGAGTAAGTTTTTTTAGGTAGGTAAATACATATTCCGTATTTATTATTAAGCTATATAAAAGTTGTAGACATTTTTTTAGGTCGCCACACCTACCTCGCCACTCGCTACACCACTGGGTGGATTGCAACACCTTGAAAAAATTTAGAAGTAGCCCATACCCTGGAAAAGTCTGCACACCCCTGTATTTAAAAATAAAACTGAGTTCCATTTTATAATTATTTTTAAATAAAAATAATGCAAATTGAACTGTTTCTAGATTATAGTGTATATTTAATAGTACTATTACAAAGTTTCTGGTATTGATGAAAAAATAAGTTCTTTAATAATTTATTCAATTCTGACTACCATTACCTTCAGAATAATCTCCTTGTGAGCATACGTAAAGATAGCATCAGTTTTTCACACCTTGGAAGCATTGCAAGAGTCCTTCTATGTAATTACCAAGGATTCTTTGTGATTCCTGTTGAATGTTAAATACAGTTTCAAAATGTTATCTTTTTAGTTTCATTTTAAATTTGAGAAACAAAGTCACAGAAAGCAAGATCTTATGAGTGCAGAAGATGTAGAATGGTAACTATGTTATAACTGGCCAAAAATTGCACGATTTTCAGGGATATGTAGGTGAGTGCATTGTTATGATGAATGAACCAGCTATGATTGTGCCAGTCCTCTGGTCTTTCTTTTTATTCATATCTTCTCTGAAATACCTCAGCATTATAGCAAAATCAGATTTGACATAACATTAGGAGGAAAAGCTCTCAATGAAAAATCTTTCTGAAGTAAAAATGAGCTTAATTATTATTGAAGTCTGAATTTTATTAAAATACTTAAAAGAACTTTTATGATTATTTTATGAAATTTATGAAGGTATTTAACGTAGAATTCCAAAAATTCATATACCTCAGGGCCAAAAATTGTGTGCATTAGTGAATATTATGGATTAAAGATCATGATTTCCTGAATGCTGTTTACATTTTTCCCCTTCTTAATTTTTATGTTAAAATTGAATTGTTTGCACATAAATAACTAGATAATACTTTAGTAATTATTTAATTATGATTTATTCAAGACAGAATAATAGTATTTTCAATACATTTATATTAAACGGAAATATATTAGTACAAGTGAAAGATATAGTAGGGAGAAAGAGGGATAAATGATAGGGATTTTTTTTTTTTTTTTTTCATTCTTCAAAAAGGAATAAAGAACTGCTTTGTAAAATGTATCAAAATATTTTATGTATATATTTGTGAAAATATTTAATATAGATATATATACATATATATATATTTGCAAAAATACTTTTAAAATAAATTTAAGCAAGTGAAAAAAAGGAGTTAATAAATACACTGTTTATGAAAACTCTAATTATGCATTTTTTTATAATTTTAGCCCCTATACTAATTCTACCATTACATTCCTTACATGCACGCTGTGCACAAAAAGAAAAGGGGAAAGAGAAAACTTCTATATCTCCCATTCTACTGGGCCGGTTGACAAAATTAAAATTGCGTTTTTGATGTCTCGAAAGCACGATTTAGGATATGTGTTAAATTTATATATAGCATTGTTCTAATACAGTCAAAAGTCGCTAATTCGGACACCCATAATCCGGAATGATCTATAATCCGGACCTCAAAGCTACAAACTTTCTGCGCATGCGTCGCTTTGACGCATTTACGGCTGCGAATATGCTTGTGTGCGTGCGCAAAATATGTTTACTAGTGCGCGTTTAATGTATAACGTATGGTAAAAATTATAATAAATTATAAATTTTATAATTTCTGCATGCCATCTTACCAGATTTAAACTGATGATCTATAATCCGGAAAAATCGATAATCCGGAATCGCCGAAGTCCCGACGAGTCCGGATTAACGACTTTTGACTGTATAGGTATTTTGACACAAAATTAGACTTTTTCAGAAATGAGATACCAGTTTTTTTCTATATTTCGACTCTGCAACTCAAATTATACCAAACTGCAAAGTTTTATAAAAATCGCATGAGTAGTTTTTAAAAAATTAACTCTTAAAATTTTAGCTTTTCAGTGTTAATTCAAATTTGATATGTGATTATTAATATCTCTTTTTTTTTATTACACTTACTTGATTCCTTCTTTCACAGTTTGAAATTTTTTTCCAAATAAAATTCACCCATTTTTTATGATTTATTTTTAAATTTTATATTTAAAATAATTTTTATAATTTTTGGAAAAAAATTTTTTTATTTATAACTTATAGATTTTTACCATCATCTTAAAGTAGTTTTATTTCTAACCATACCTGTAAAAAATTTGAGCTTTTTATTCCAAATTTCCGAAGATATACATGAATTTATATATTGACATGTTTTGAAATTTGGCTTGTTTGTTGGTTTACACACTTAAAAATTATTTGAAATTAAAAAGTCGTTTAAAATTATTTGAAAGTAGGAACGATGTGACTTTTCCCCCACTCATGTACAGTGTAAAAAGGGAAAGGAAAATAGGTTGCCATAAATTAAAAAGTTCGCCAAATGAATTATTCTTGGTGCAAACTGAAAAAAATATGCCAAGATAAATTTTTGAATTTCTCCGTGAATTCCACACCAAATTTTACAAAATTTAATATTTAGGCATAATTTGAGCCGTAGAGTTGAAATATGGAAAAAAGTTGGCAAGTTATTTCAGAAAAAGTCCTAGTTTGTGTCAAAATACCTATATTTGAACAAAGCTATATATAAATCTAATATATATCGTTAGTCGCGCTTTCAAGATATGAAAAACGCAGTTTGAATTTCGTCAATCGACCCTGTAGAACTGTCTCTCTCTCTCTCTCCCTTTTTTCCTCCCCCAGAAGATGTAGAACTTTTTTTTTGCTTCCTTGCTCAGTGTACAATTGGATTAATAACACTGCTAACAAACAACTTATAAAGAGAGCTAGAATTGAAACTGAATTTATTAAAAGTAAATTTCTTTATACATTATACCTTTGTTACCATGCTTTTGATTCTTGATGCCAGAAAAATCTATACAAGGATTATTTTCAAGAATTTATCCATATTTGGTGCCAATGTAAACAAGTTTGCTTATTACATGGAATGTATGCAAACAAGTTATGAGATTAAGACACAATAACACGCCGAATAAATACTAATTCAGAAGTCGAACAACAAAAATTTTTTTATTTATAACTTATTATATATAGCGTTATATTTACAAAATTTTCACAGGACTAGTTTCGATGGTTTTACCGAACCACCATCCTCAGCTGCAAAACCGCAAATGAACAAGATAGGAAATAACGATTAGATAAGATAAGAAAGCCTGGACAAGAATAAGCAAGTGGCGCCATCTGTTGGTGAAACCAGAACTAAAACATAATTTCTTTAAAGGCCGAAGGCAAATTTGGATTGGAATTAGGATCGTTAACTAGATCAGAAAGATTTTTATGAATGTGAAATGCCTCTAGAAAATCAGTTCTCCAATGGACGATGTTTTTTTGAATAATTTTGGCAGCAGAAAAATTGAAAGTGTGCTTTTCGGACCAACAATGTTGAGCAACAGAAGACTTCTGTGTTTCCTTTTTTCTAACATATGCCTCATGTTCCTTGACACGAAATTTTAAGGCTCTCTTAGTTTGGCCAATGTAAATTAAACCACACTGGCAAGGAATCCTATAATACCCCAGGAATTCAATATCCGGAATGGGGTCCTTGAGTACGGAACTCGGAATTTTATTGATGGGAGAATAAACAACCCGAAAGTTAAATTTCTCTTTCTCTGCAAAATATGTGCAAACTTTATAGCTAATTGATGGAAAGAAGGGAATGACAACAGAATTTTTATAATCTCCTAAAACAAGAGTGTGCCTTTTAGTGTGTTGAGATGAGAAATTCTCATCAACAACAAAATCTGGATGTTCAGTTTTATGAATGATCAGATATCATGCCTTCCAACGACCAGACCCCCCCCCCCCCCCCGATTTCAGAAATTTTTTTTTGAACAGGAGAAAGAATTAGATTCCAAGAATAACGTCTCGCTTTAACTAGATTCCAAGAGTAGTATTTCGCTTTAGCATATGCTTAATGCTTTATGCATGTGCAGCACGTTTTATTTGTAACAAAGCATGGGAAGAGATTCTTAATTTCACTGAGCACTAAATAAAACCTTGCCTTGTTCACCTAACATTATTAATCAAGCAGTTAAAAAATTCTCATCTCAACACACTAAAAGGCACACTCTTGTTTTAGGAGATTATAAAAATTCTGTTGTCATTCCCTTCTTTCCATCAATTAGCTATAAAGTTGCACATATTTTGCAGAAATTTAACTTTCGGGTTGTTTATTCTCCCATCAATAAAATTCCGAGTTCCGTACTCAGGACCCCATTCCGGATATGAATTCCTGGGGTATTTATAGGATTCCTTGCCAGTGTGGTTTAATTTACATTGGCCAAACTAAGAGAGCCTTAAAATTTCGCGTCAAGGAACGAGGCATATGTTAGAAAAAAGGAAACACAGAAGTCTTCTGTTGCTCAACATTGTTGGTCCGAAAAACCACACTTTCAATTTTTCTGCTGCCAAAATTATTCAAAAAACATCTTCCATTGGAGAACTGATTTTCTAGAGGCATTTCACATTCATAAAAATCTTTCTGTTCTAGTTAACGATCCTAATTCCAATCCAAATTTGCCTTCGGCCTTTAAAGAAATTATGTTTTAGTTCTGGTTTCACCAACAGATGGCGCCACTTGCTTATTCTTGTCCAGGCTTTCTTATCTTATCTAATCATTATTTCCTATCTTGTTCATTTGCAGTTTTGCAGCTGAGGATGGTGGTTCGGTAAAACCATCGAAACTAGTCTTGTGAAAATTTTGTAAATATAACGCTGATTTTTGTTGTTTGACTTCTGAGTTAGAAGTTATGAGATGCTTTGAAGTTAGAATTTAATATCTAACATGATGTGGATTAATGAATTTTTGGTATATATTAATATAAAGTTAATTTAAAAAGGAAATGGAATATGTAATGTAATGATTAATCTAAAATGAAAAAAATTTGCAGGTTAAAGATTTTTGTTTACTATGAAAAGAGAGTGTTCATATGTGCACAGAAGATGCTAAATAATTTCAGAACTGAATTAAATTGTTTTTTCAATCAAAATATGCTATAAACATAGTGTATTTTTATGAAGTGAATTTTGCTTATTTATATAAGGAAAAGAAGTACAATCAAACTTACATGCTATATTTCCTAAAATCCAAAATTTTGTTTGTTTGCAATTGAAATGAATGTGGATTACAGGCATTCACTGATTGTTAAATTTTAACTGTACATTGATGTATTAATAATTATGATGTAAGTAGTATGCAATTATTTATTAAATTTTATTTCCCTAGGTTTCTGTTATTTCTCAGTCATCTGGAATAATAGAGTTTATTTTACCACATATTGAAGAAATTAGGAAGCAGAATATCATTAGGTTATTGGTTAATCCATATTTAGAAGTAGTGAACTGGACCAAAATTGATTTTTCATGCCAACCTACTGTAACAAAAGCAGAGCTTCAATGGAAGAATCTTTGTTATTTTATTGAAAAACATTCTGTTTCAACCACAGAACAACATTATGTGCCTCAAATGACTTCCCATAATCATTTCAATTTATGCCTTCTTAAAAATTATGTAAATAATTTACATAATATATTTGTCTCAGACTTAGTATGGGAGAAATATAGAGGTTTTCGCAAGAATTACTTTGACCATTACAGTTGTGACTGTTCACTTACAGGATCTTGTTTTAGTTGCAGTTTAAAATTAGCTATCCAGTGTATATATGAAGATGAACTTTTAATTTATATTGGGTGTTTTCATCCACAAATTATTACCCAGTCTGCTGTGCTTGACACATATATCAAGATTATAGAGAGACATTTCTATGATTTAATGAATCTGATTGAAGAATGTGTAAATAGGAAAATAGATTTACCTGAAGAAATTATAAGTCTTTTAAATACCTCAAAGTTTTCTTCTGAAAATTCTAGGTCTTGTTTAATTTGTTTTGTGCAAAATAATATAAACACTGAAATTGCCTCTATTATTTACTGTATTCAAAATAACTTTGGAACGGTGAGTTTGTGGAACAAAATTTTTGTTCATTCAATTATTAAAATAGTGGAAACTCTGTCATCATTTGAAGATCAAGTAAATGCTTTTAGTCCCACTTCTAAAGATTCAAAAATACATTTTCATGCTGATGATCTTTCAACATTACTTGAAGGTATAATTCCTTTTCTAGGATAATTTTTATTTTTAAATGCTATTCTTTCCTGTGCTTCATACATGAATTTCATGCTACTTGTGTATTAATTCAACCACTCTAGTAGAAATAACTAAATGTTCAAAAGGCACCAGCTCTGGCAGTGAGACACATAACAAATCTTAAGTTCTGACAAACAAGATGACCATGTATGCATTCTTTTTGTTGCATTTCAAGTTTCAGTGGTTTTTACAGTCAAATCATGATATAATTTGTTTTAACCTCAATTTTAAAATATGTCTTTGTCAATTTTAAAATATGCCATCTGTCAGGAAATGCAGAATCTATCTGCATTTCCTGACAGATGGCACTGTAAGTCCGTTCTACTGTTCTCTCCAGTTTTAATGTATAAGATATGCATCTACAGAAAGGGTTTATGTTTTGATTTAAAAGGAGTGTTATTTGTAACTGCATGAACAGGAGAGAGCTGAACATCAGATTGTGTAAGAAAGTTATGAAAATGATATATTAATTGAAGGAAAGGACTTTGCTTGTATTGAAATTCCACCAGCTGGGAGAAAGTATTAGAGCAACAAAAAGAAGCTTTCAATGCAAACTCCAAGTCACTAATGTCTGCAGCCGAATGCAACAAAAATATTGAATGAGAAATTCAAACAAGTAGGTAGTCTTGTGGATGAGAAAGTTGGAACTGTTGCACTCTGCTTGGTGAGAAAACAGTTGCATGCTTCCCTAGATAATCAGTCCGAAATCTGCAGCTGCATGTCGATTGAGCGAAACAGTGGCACTTAAGATAATGCATTCCTAGCCTTGTTCCAATGTAAAATTCAAACACAGCAACCAATTCAGATTATATCTGTGAAGAATGGTGGCAATAATAATGATTGATGGTGTCAATATTGATGTGAACTCTGTATGGTTTTCAGATGAAGCACATATCCATTACAATGGATTCATTAATAAGCAAAATTGGCCTATTCAGGGAACTGAGAACCCTCAAGTGTGTGTTCCACAATCACTGTTTTCAAAAAATGATTGTATAGGGAGCTGTCTTTAGAAAAGGTATAATTCGAACCATTTTTCTATATGATACAGTGACTTCAGAACGATTTTGCATGGTTTTGTGGCCATTGAAAATGCTCAAGTCAAATCATCTGCAACATCCTTGTTCATGCAAGATGGTGCGAGGCCTCATCGGACTGCTGCAGTTTTTAATTTCTTAGAGGAATATTTTGATAACTGTGTAATTGTTTGAAATTACCCATGCTTTGCAGGAAAAGGAATATTGTTGCTGCTTGTACTCATGAGACTAGAATCGTGCAATTTCTTCATATGGTGTCACTTGAAGGGTGCAGTGTACTGGAAAAATCCCCAAATACTCGAGAAACTTGAAAAAATAATCAGTGACAAATGTGCAGCCATTTCAATGGCAACTTTACAGAAAATGTGTGCTAATTTCATCCTTCGATTACAACATGTGATTTAGGCTGATGATAGACATTTTAAAATAGTAAGAATTTCGTTCATAAAATTTTTTTCATATCTTCTTTTTTTTATGGCGGCCTTAGAAAAATAAAAAGCTTGGGAAATTTTGCTTACAAATTTCCAAATTTTTTATGTAGTGGCCCAGTTATGCATGAGAAATAATTATTTTTTATTTCATATATTTGTTCATGTGTTTAATTATTTTATAAAATTAACTTTAATATTTTGTTAATATTCATATTTATATTTAAATTTCTTTATGCTGAATGGCAACTAGTTCTAGTTCTGATTCATGATTGCTAGGTTTTGGTTTCAAAACGTTGCTCGTAGCGTCGCATTTCGATAGCTGGAAAATAAAATGCAATAACTTAGCTATTTGTTTATAATTCATGCTGTTACTAGTCATAAATTAATTTTAAACATTAGTAGCCAAGGCTACATCGTGGTGGTGACCCTGATTAATTTTCGAAATGTCAACAAATGACTCTTCTGAAACTGCTATGAAAGATACGATACAGTCACCGGAGCTTCATAAGGTGAGTGTGAAAAATACCTCCTTTTTGGATTGATAAACCGGAAATATGGTTTTTTCAAGTTGAAGCTCAGTTCAAAATTTAGAAATATCGTTTCAGAAGAAACGAAATTTAATTATTTAGTTTCACAGCTTGAACCTAAGTTCGTCGAAAATATTTGGGACATTGTAACGAACGATAGTGCCACAAAATATTCGGATGCTAAAATTAGGTTATTACATTTATTCAAAGAAAGTGAAAATGTACGGATTAAACGTTTGATTACTGGTATCGAACTTGGAGACATGAAACCAAGCCAACGTTTGCAGAAGTTGAGATCAGTTGCTACTACAGATGTGTCTGAAAATCTAATCAAAACTTTATGGCTGGAGAAGCTACCTGACTCCATAAAAATATATTATTAGTTAGTGATGAAGATGTAACCAAGTTAGCGTCTATGGCAGATAAAATTAGTGATATGAATCGGAAACCAGAAGTATTTAGTACTAATGCTCCTTCTGTTCCCGCAAATGATTTGTTGCAAAGAATTACCTTTCTTGAACAAAAAATTGATCAAGTAACCATTCGCTCAAGACGAAGGGACTCGGATTTACGTAATTCACGTTCACGATCTCGAAGCCAACCTCGTAAACGATATGACCCTACTGGCAAATTTTGTTTTTATCACTTTCGTTTTGGAGCAAAATTCATTCTAGAGAAATGCAAGCCTCCGTGTGCTTGGGTAAAAAACGATTTCAAAAACCAGGAAAACTCGAATCTGCAGTAGGTTCAGCGGCAAACGCTGCTGCAGAAAATATGAAGGATTGTCGCAAATTTCGTTTATTCGTTCGTGACCGAAGATCAAATTTGCACTTTCTTATTGATAGCGGAGCTGACGTAAGCATAATTCCTGCTACTTCACAGAATAAATGTAAAACTGAATATAAACTGTATGCAGCTAATGGCACAGATATTTCCACTTATGGCATAAAAACGCTAACTCTTGATTTGGGATTACGTCGTGATTTTCAGTTTCCATTCATAATTGCTGATGTCACAAAAGGTATTTTAGGAGCTGACTTTCTTCACAAATATAAATTGCTTGTCGATATAAATAAGAAAAAATTAATTGATGGCGTAACACAGCTTTGTGTCCAGTGTGATGTCGCTGCTATTTCCAGTGATTACTCAGTAACCACATTAAATAAATCCATAAAAATTTTCGATTTACTGTCGAAATATCCCGAAATTTCTAAACCTAACCTTTTTCCTACACAAATTAAACATGGTGTTACACATTTTATTTCGACTGTTGGTCAACCCGTTTATTCAAAGGCACGACAGCTCGATCCAAAACGCTTAGCTATAGCTAAAGAGGAATTTAAATTTATGCTTGACAATGGAATAATTCGTCCATCAAACTCCCAGTGGTCAAGCCCCTTGCACCTTGTTACGAAAAAGGATGGTTCATATCGTCCTTGCGGAGACTACCGACGATTGAATGCGCAGACGATACCTGATCGATACCCAATTCCTCGCATTGAAGATTTTCATCATATTTTAAGAGGTACAAATATTTTTTCTAAAATTGATTTATTCAAAGCTTATTTTCAAATTCCCATTGCAGAAGAAGACAAATGTAAAACGGCTATCATCACTCCTTTCGGTTTATACGAATTTAATGTAATGAGTTTCGGTTTAAAAAATGCTCCTGCAACGTTCCAAAGATTTATTCACGAAGTCTTTAGAGGATTAGAATTCGTTTTTCCCTATTTAGACGATATACTCATTGCATCCAGTACCCATGAAGAACACGAAAATCACCTTAAATTAGTTTTCGAAAGATTACATACATTTGGGTTAAGAATTAATGTTTCAAAATCTGTCTTTGCTGTTCCCCAAATCGAGTTTCTAGGCTACCTAATTACACCTAAGGGTTCCCGTCCTTTGCCAGAAAGAGTTCAAGCTATTACTAACTACAAACGACCAGAAACAATTCATGAACTTAGAACCTTTCTTGGAATACTTAACTTTTATCGTCGTTATATAAGGAGCAGCAGCATTGCAACATTTTGTATTTAAAAAAGATTGCTGAAAAAGGGAAAAGTATTTCGAATGGGCAAGAAAGGAAAAAAAATTTTATTCGTGGGATTAAAATTGTTCAATTTAAATTTTCTTTTATATATATACCTTTTTCTTTTTTAAAAAATTTAATAGAAATTTTTTTAAATGTACAGCTGAAATTGCACTTGTTAGTCATCGGAAACATTCCAGTTTTGTAGGCTATCTTGTATATGGATTTATTTAAATTTAGCATTTGAAAAGGAAAATATAAATTATGTACATAATATGTGTTTTATATTGTATGAGTACTTACAATAAAGTATCAGAACTTCTTATGTGTAATGTTCATTTTTTGATTGTCATTTCTTAATAATATAGATATTGCAGTGTATTTATTGTGTGGGAGCAGAAAAAGTATCCTGTTTCTATAGTGTAATAAGATACCATAATGTCTCATGATTGTATTATGCATTACATTATGATAATATTAATTATGTGTCATAATTTATTCTGCATTGTGTTAATGTATCATGTTATGTTAAATCTGCATTATATTAACCAAACGTTAGACACCTAAAACAGTTATTATGAAAAAGGAAAATATGTAATTACTTTAAATGGGCTCAGCTAATATGGTTTCATAGGTCCAGGTAGTAATTAATAATAATAAAGAAGTAGAACTGTGTTTATTCCTTTCAGCTTGCTTAATATGTTAATCAATAACAGAGAGATAAATTTTGAGGGGAAAAAAACATTCACTTTGCCATTTGGCAACATGCTGGTGCAGGGAAGATAAAAATATTTGTTTCTGGCATTTTTCCCCCTTAGCTGGCACCATTAAAATGCTATTTTTAAATTTAAACCTGTGATAAAATGGCAGGAAAAAGAAATTATTAAAACAACTACCAATTTTTGTGCTGCCATCTGAAAAATAAATAAATAACTAAACATGGAAGATTGCATACTGCATGATTACCTAAATTGGAAAGACAAATAGTTTACATTTTTCCAAGTAGCAACATATTTCTTTTGAATTGGTGATTTTTTAGATTTGACATATAGTCATTTGACACTTTGCTTGTCTGGCAACACATTGCTTTTAAATCACCATTTGTTAATCAAAAATTCACACAAGATATGAAATAAATAAAAATCAAACTCAAAATTTAAGCTTTGAGGAGCACATGTTCAGGTGTTCCTCAAATTTAGTTCCTCAAATTTCAAAACTATGTTCAAAATTTAGTGGCTCTAGGTGCTAATGCATATTTTCATTTAAATACTGCACTAAAATGAATATAAAATTTGTCTTCTGAATTCCTTCATTTATTTTCTATTTGAAAATTAATATAATCTTTCTGAAGTTGTATTTTATTTTTTAATTTTAATGATTTATGCTAACTTATAATCATGAACCAAAAATATAGAATTCACTTTTTTATCAATGTCAAAAATTAAATCATTTAATGTATTACTTGTATGACTCATCAATTAACTAATCAATTCTAATTTACTTAGCAAATATTCATTGTAGCAGTAGTGGAATATTAAAAGTTGTGTAAATATGAAAAAAAAAAAAAAAGGTTTCTGTAAAGTTGGGTGCTGAAAATGAGATGGTTGGTGAAATGAATGTGGGTGATCATGTAAAAAAGCTGAATGCCCTTATAAAAATGAAAAAAAAAATTCTTTGCTGAATTTCATTCCATTGGTTAAATATTTGTATAACAAAAAAAAAAAAAAAAAAAAAAAAAAAAAAAAAAAAAAAAGTAACAAAAAAAAAGGAATAAGAAAAAAAAAAAAAAAAAAAAAAAAAAAAAAAAAAAAAGAAATAAGCAGAAGAATTTTATGTGATTAAAAGGATAAGATTAATTAATGTTGACTGAGAATAGAGATCCTTAAGAAATTTTAACTAAGCAGAATTACTTCCACTACTGCACTAATTTATTTATTTATTTATTTCATTTTTGAGCTTAACATTCATAGTGTTTGTTAGATATTGTTCTCTACTTCATTAAGCTTCATCTGTTATGAATTGTTATTTATATAGCATAGAAAGTATACTTTTTTAAATTAATTCTTTAAAATATTTTACTATTTTTAATGTTATAATTTATTCCTCCTTTCCATAAAATGAATTTATGCACTTGGTTGCTCCATATATATATAGCAAAATCATAGTGTGTATCCAAACTCCTAAAATTAATGACAAATAAAAAAAAATAGCAATAACTCATTCAAAAATAAGCCAATCGATGTAAAATTTTAATAATTTATCAAATAAGAATTGCTGAGTAAAGCTGTAGTATGCAAATTATTGGTGCTGCAATCAAAATACGTCATCTGTGAGCAGCATAAAATTGCATGTTTCAGAGCAAGCCTGCATATTTTGCTGTGATACTGAGATAAGAAATCTGGGATAGCAAATTTTTAATAATGACCTTCAGGCATCATTTGCCTGAAGTTGGACAGAAGAGTGGCAGGACAAAGTTGGACAGAAGAGGCCAGATGGCTAAATGTGAGTCCTGTGGTTCACAGACTTTGGCAACAATTTCTAACCACAAATTTGGCATCCAGAGATTCAGCCAAGGATGGCCATGACGAGCATTGATGACTGATATTTGTTGTCATGTGCATAAAGGAATAAAACCGCAACTCGGATTCTCCCTTGCTGCAGCCACTGGAAGGTTGGTGTCAACGTCAACCATGCATAGAAGGCTTCACAAAGGAAATCTCACGACGTGGGGCGAACAGCCATATGCATGCTGCTCAAGTCATGTCATAGAAGGGAATATTTGAAGTGGGCACATAAACATGTCCACTGGACAGCTGATCAGTGGAGGGCTCTTCTCTTTACGGATGAGTCCATGTTAAGCCTCCAAAGAGATAGTAGATATTATTTGATTTGGAGAGAACCTAGAAACCATTATCATCCATAAAACATCCGTGAAAGAGATGCATATGGAGGAAGCAGTATCTGTGTGTGGAATGCTCTTTGGATGGATGCACAAACCTCCGTGTCTTTCCACGTGGAACCATGAATGTTCAGGCGTATAGAAATGGCATCCTTAATGCTTATGAGTGTGTGCGGGGGCAATAGGAAATAATTCCCTGCTACAAGACAAGACCATATAGAGCTTGCATCATAGATGATTGCCTTCAGCACTTGGAGTGGCCAGTTCAATCACCAGACCTGAATCCTATTGAGCATGTTTGGGATGCTTTAAGAAGATGAGTGCAGCTCTCAATCCTCCTCCTTAGACCTTTGCTACACTTGCAACTGACTTGCAAAGACAATGGCTCTAACTTCCTATGGAACTGATAGACTGTATAATTGACAGTCACACATTGCCGGATGTGTTGTATTGCTTCTAGGGGAGATCATACTCCATATCGAAGATAATTATCCTATACCAAACTGACACATATGATTTGTTTATTTTATACATATACTAATTTCTACACTATAATTGTCTGGTAATTTCATGTTATTTTATACCTTACTATGTGTTGTATACTGTGGGTCAGTTTCATTAAATTCTGCATGTAACATTTTGAGTAATCGTCATTTTTGCGATTTTTTCTTAATTATTGATAACCAATGTATCTAAACACACATAGAGATACTTATCACTTTCAAGGAAATATTTCAAGGTATGATGACTTACAAATAATAATTTTAGTCTTTTAAAAACAATAACTTATTAAGTAAAAAATTCATAAATAAAGTAAAAAATTAGCTTGCTAAATCCACTTCAAAATTTTAATTTGTTTGATTTTTGTTATTCAGTTTTATGTAGATTAAGCTAAAAAAATATATTTTATATATTTTTTACAATAACTAAAGTTTTCAAAATCAGGTTCAAGACTTGTATTGGCTACAGACAGCCCTGAGCAATCTCCATTTCATGGAACTGTTCATGAAAATTTTTCAAAAAGGTCTTCACAAGTAGAGACGTTGAAAGTATCTATTCTGTGGAATTGGAGGTAATCTTAATATTGTGTCATATCACCTGATATTGACTCATGTTATTTTAACATTCATGTTCCTTACATTTATAGTTATTGTCATACTGTATACTCAGTTTTTATGTTTCTATCATTTTTAAGTCTTAGCTATTCTTTATGTGAAAATTATTAATAATTTCTCATTATCTGCACCTACATAAAAATTATGAATTCATTGGTAACTTTGAAGAGCATTTGTAAACTCTTTGTCAACTAATTTTTTGCCAAGCTAATATGTGAAAACAATGGGTCTACGTGAAAATGATCAATAAAATTAAAAAATAAATAATAATATAAATAAAAAAAAAAGAATATTGGTGATAAAGCACTTTTTTAAGAAATTCTTTTTTTATACTGTTGTTCTTCCCATGTACCCAGAAATCTGGCTTCACTGAAAAAAACTTTAAAAAAATACATTAATTTGGCAACCATACATATTTGGCATTGCAAATAAGCCAAAAAAGACATGCACTATGTGTATACTTGGGTTGCCACTTAAATAATTTTTGGTGACATTGTGGGTTTTCATACTGTTGTGCCTTTGTGGTGTGGTTGCAGATAATCCAAGTACTGAAATATTTAATATTGTAAGTAAGTATCTCAAATTGATGGCCTTGGAAGCAATTTTATGAAGTCTGCAAATGCATTTCAATTATGTATTTATTGCAAAAATTATTATTATGATGATGTTGCAAAGATTTCAAGATTTTAGTTATTTGTAATTCGAGTTTACATTATTTCCATTACCATTAAAAGTTATTATTACCATACCATTGAAAATTATTATCATTATTATTATTATGTTGCAAAGATTTTAAGATTTTAGTTATTTGTAGTCCGAGTTTACATTATTTCCATTACGATTAAAAATGAACATGAATGACACCCAGAAAACCTATTAATTGAGCTAATTAATTTACAGTGTGATATAAATCTTATTCAGAGATTTGATCATATGGATTTTATTCATGCTTGTCAAAAAATAAATAAGCTCAATTAGAAATTTCACTTTATTTGCAATTATTTGCAATAATCACTTTATTTGCAAATATATTTATATGGGAGCAGTTTCTTCCACAACTGAAAATTAATTAAAAGACAACTGAGTGACCGATGAACACCTGCAATCCATAGTGTCAAGCTATTAGTGAGAAATAAAGTAGTTAATAATTATTTACATGGAGTCATATATATATATATATATTTATTTATTTATGCATCGTAGAAAATTTTAATAAATAAGATAAAGAAACTATGTTGTCATTATTTATTCTCAAGTTTTGTCCAACTTTAAAAATTTTCTCTGAAAACTTAGAAATTTTCATAATTTATCTAAGATATATAAAGTCAATTTTCAGAATCTGTGAAAGCATATTCATACTTCAAGTGTAATTCTGGTTCAGTGTATGGAGTATTTTAGAAATTAGCAAATTCTAAATTCTCTCAAATATGATTTGATTATCGGATTATGAAATTAAATACACTGGCCAAATAAATTAAGAGAATTGTCATATTTTATCGAATTGCGTGAAAAGAACTTAAGGAAAATCCACTGCTTCTAGATAGAAATGCAAATCTTGTACGGCAAACGTAAGCGTACACGTGTGTGTAGGCTGAGCCAGCAGGAAAACAGTCTTTATAAGTGTGTGGAGGGTAAGATGAATTGCGCTAGCACACCTCGGCGAATTTCTTGGTGTTATCTTGTGGAATTAGGTAAAATTCACATCGGAACAGTAAAACCACCAACGTTTAGACAATGGAACGAGGTGGCAAATTGTGGGGAGGCTAGAGGCAGGCCAATCGCAAGTCCAGATATGCAGAGAGTTTAATTTAACGTCGTGTGTAACCTATGGAAACAGTTCCAGGATACTGGATCCATCGAGAGAAAGCCTGGGCAAGTTCGTCCAAGAGCCACGACGTACACGTGTGAGGGTGGAGCCTGCAGGAAAACAGTCTTCATAAGTGTGTGGAGGGTAAGACGGAACAGTAAAACCACCAACGTTTAGATAATGGAATGAGGGGGCAAATTGTGGGGAGGCTAGAATCAGGCCAATCGCAAGTCCAGATATGCGGAGAGTTTAATTTAATGCCCAACGTCGTGTGTAACCTATGGAAAAAGTTCCAGGATACTGGATCTATCGAGAGAAAGCCTGGGCAAGTTCGTCCAAGAGCCACGACGTACATATGTGTGTAGGCGGAGCCTGCAGGAAAACAGTCTTTATAAGTGCGTGGAGGGTAAGACGAATTGCGCTCGCTAGCACACCTCGGCGAATTTCTTGGTGTTATCTTGCGAAATTAGGTTAAATTCACATCGGAACAGTAAAACCACCACGTTTAGACAATGGAATGAGGTGGCAAATTGTGGGGAGGTTAGAGGCAGGCCAATCGCAAGTCCAGATATGCAGAGAGTTTAATTTAACGCCCAGCATCGTGTGTAACCTATGGAAACAGTTCCAGGATATTGGAACCATTGAGAGAAAGCCTGGGCAAGTTCATCCAAAAGCCACGATGGCCAGAGAAGATCGCTATTTGTCTATTTTAGCGAGGCGTAACAGAAGGGCTACAGCTTCTCAGCTCCCACAGGAATCCATGTAACAAGGGTGACTGTTTCCAAAAGACTGAATGAAAGAGGGTTGTTTGCCAGAAGACCGGCTGTTTGCGTCCCGCTCACGTCTTCGGACAGGAGAGTCCGATTAGCATGGTGCAGGCAGCATAGTGATTGGAGTACAGAGCAATGGGCGACCGTTCTGTTCACCGACGAGTCCCGTCTTACCTAAAGGCCGATTTTCATCGTACTTTCATACGGGGAGAGCCAGGGGCCTGCTACCTACCCTCCAATGTCCTCGAAATCAACATTTATGGCGGTGGCGGTGGAATGGTCTAGGCCGGAATCATGTTGGATGGCCGCAGACCTCTCCACGTCTTTGACAGAGGCTCTGTGACTGAAGTGAGGTATAGGGATCTATTGGAGCCCTATCTTGGCCTTTTTCGGGGTGCAGTGGGTCCCGTGTTCATCTGACAGCAGGATAACGCGAGGCCACATAGAGCTCTTCTGGTCGATGAATTTCTCGAGAGTGCTGGATGTATTTATTGGCCAGACAGGTCTCAACCTCAACCCTATAGAGCAACCTGGGACGCTCTGGGGAGAGCAGTTGCAACTTGCAATACCCCTCCGAGAATGATCCAGGAACTGAAAACAGCGTTGCTAAATGAGTGCGACCAATTGCCACAGGCACTGATAAACTGCCTTATTTCCAGCATGACATCACGCTGTGAGGTATTTCCAGTATGACATCACGCTGCGAGGTATTTCCAGTATGACATCACGTTGCGAGGTCTGTATGGCTGTAAGAGGGGATTATACCCCATATTAACCCAGTTCTTTTGTCTCTTCTGCAACCGCTGTTTCAGACCTTCAGACTCCCATGAGTGTTACACATGAACATGTGTGCCTATTATAACTGTTGAGTGTTTATTTTGTTTGTATTATATCAACCTATGTTCACACCAAATTTTATTTAAAATCTGTCCAGTAGTTCTGGAGATCGTAGATCAAATATGCATATTCTCTTAATTTATTTCACCAGTGTAGTTGAATAAATAAAATAGAACAATTGTTGCTAAATTTCCTTCCATAAATTAGTTTTAAGAAGACAATATAATAGTTGAAATCCTTATAAAGGTGAAAAACCCTCTTATTTAAATATCTTTTTAATAGAAATATTTTTATATTATCTATGTATTTGTTTTACCTACTTACCTATAGCTATAGGTCTTCAAGAGTTAAATAGATATTTGTAGTATATTAAACATAAAATTCTGCTTTCATGTAGTTAAAAAAATATTTATTTGAAGTTGACAGAAAATAACTCTCAAATGTTTGCATTTGTTTAAGAGTAAGTGCCAAAGATACAGCTTATGAAATCTCATTTCTAATTTCAGTTTACTCATGATTTTATTGAGGCATTTGGAAAGTTCTAAGGGTTTTTTTTTTTTTTTTTTTTTTTTTTTGTGGTGTGTGTGTGTGTGTGTGTGTGTGTGTGTGATGAATATAAATGAAGCAGTAAAAAAATATAAAATTGTTGCATTGAATCACCTAATCACCATTTTGTTCTATGACTTTTCTTCATCTGTCGATGCAGCTGGAAAATTCCATTTTTCTTCCTTATACAAAGTAAAGGAAGTATTGCAATCACCAAAAATTTTAGGTTTAGTTCATTATGGCAGAGCATACTAGGGCTGTCTAAGGGTATAGATGCCTTTGTGGGGGACATTCTAAAGGAAATTGACTTGTATGCACTGAAAAATTTTGCATTTAGAATTTCAACCGAAATATCCATTTTGACTAATTTTACTTTTTCAAGCTCTGTAAGTAATACGAGATAAAATAAAAGAATTTTCAAAGTGGATTGTAAAATGGGTTCAAAATGGATTTTTTGGGGAACATATCTTGCATAACTAAGAAATGATTAGTTACAGAACGTTGAAATTTTGTATATAAAACTGTTGTAACATCTAGTTATGCCCCTCCCTTTCTTTTTGCCATTGCCAGCACCAAGAATATATATATATACACTGACTACCAATAAGTATTTGGACACCTGTGATAGAAAAGAAAAACTAACTTTATTCAAAATCAATAGTTGGTAGAGCCTCCACGAGAGGTAATTACAGCTTGGACCCTCCGGGCATACTTTCCACAAGTCTTTGTATGACCAGTGGTATTTTCTCCACTCGCTTGTAGAATAGAAGTTCCTTCACCGATTTTCACGTAGACCCTATTCGCGATGCAACTTAAGGTTCTCGATAGGGTTTGTTGGACTCTGGGCAGGTTTAACATCTGTGGTTGTTTTAGCACTCGCATCGAAAACAACTCTCAATTTTGTTGTTAAGCTAGAGTTCTTCAACACGAAGTGATGTGGGATATAATAGTGATTATTCTCTAATTCATAATCTGTGTCTGGCACTAATTCTACGTG